ATGAATATTCTGAATAAGCATTCTTAATATCGTGAATATATCCGATGATGGGATTATTGGGTCCTGTCGCGAGCCCTCCCCATTCAGGTCAAATACTTTAGTAGCTCCTATTCTCTATTACATTATTCAATTTTACTCCCTCGACTTTGTCGTCTCAAGTATTTTTAAATATCTCTTTGCCATTCTCATTAATACCGTCTTCGAGAACCCCAGCATTAGCCTACGCTGCATCGGCCATTTTTGAAATCAGTACTTCAGCCTAATTTTTATCAGTCTTGCTAAAACGCGCCTTACTCTAACTTTTCAGGAACGGTAATTTAAAGAGTAAAAAGTAGTCTTAGCTACCACAAAGTTTGGAAGAATCAAAGCCAACTTCTTAGTACTTTTGGTTCCCGAACCCTTAGAACCATGGCGAAAATCAAAGAGAGTGCAAGCTTAAAAGCAGTTATTATTTGATTTAGAATAAGATAAAGAAGACGGTGAAGGAGTTTTCTTTGTAGTTAATAGGAGAGCCAGTTTTGTACACATGTGTGCCTTGAGGACCCTTTAAAAGTCAGGCAAAATGAAGCAAGCTTGCGGTAAGCGGCAAATTCTTTAATTGAAGACTTCCTTGTCTTCTTAATGAACACCTAAAGTCAAACCTTGCTTTATCTTGGAAGTTGAATTTGCACCAAAAAGAGAGTATTTTAGACTAAAAATTGTTGCTAAGTAAGTAAATATGGCAGAATAAAATATAATGTTGCATGTGTGCCTGTTTATACAGGCAGCAAACTATTTCAGTTTAAAGATTCTTCATTATCTTGGGTAAAAGCACTTTCCTTTGTCGGGATTATGTCTATAAAAGGTATGATCTTTAGAAATAAGGAGCTGTGTTACAAGTAACGGGGCAAGGTGAATAAGGCGGAATGCAAGTAACCAATATAACAATTACTGGTGAAAAGTAATAGTGCCAGTCATATTTTGGTGCTTGACGGAATTTATACATTGATTTGCTGACAGTTTTTTTAAGTTAAATTTAGCACAGCTGTAATGACGAAATTTAACATAATATAAGTGGTGTGACACCGTTCTCAAGTTTGCGTTAGCGAGTTTATTTTCCTTTCAAACCTCAATGGTGCTGACCTCCGACTGTGTGTAAATACTAAAAAAATGCATTTACAAACTCTAATTTGAGAACAACACTGGATTTCTATTTAGCATTATTACATCCTAATAGGAAAAGAGGTATGTAGGTTTTCTTTCACCAAAGAACCTTGTGTAATACATTGACTGGTTGTTTAACTCTCAGTTTTGGTAAAGGATTCCTTAGGGGCTCCGGCATTTTACCTAACCTAGGCAGCCTGGTCTCCATGTCATGCCAGTAGCTCCAAGCCCTAACATACACTGACTAAACATAATCTGCCCGAGTATTATGTCAATTTTTGTCTTCAGAGTACTCCCGAGGCGTCATACTTGCTAATTCAAGGGCTAAAATTTAATCTCCTCTTGATTTGTAAACGCACCTTTCCCTTACTTTTTCATAAAATCCTAGTGAAGTAAGTAAAAGGTTCCATCCTGCGCAACCACTTTCGTGAGAATCAGAATCAGTCATTTAATTTTGCTATATTTCACTTGGTTAACCCAAACACTTAGGCTAAATAATAGCTTTGAAAATCTATGGCACTTTCTGATTCACCTCCAAATGTGAGGTTGTTATATGCTGATCTCAGCTAGCATAGATATATTTTAGCTATTTTCATTCGTATCAATCTCTGGTAACGTTTTGATTACACTCACGATTTTACTATCGTTTACATTCATCATTTGATTGCCTGCCATTACTTGCATTGAACTACCCGTCAGTCATTGAGATCCGTCACTCAATCCTCATGTTCACTTATTCTTCTTTTTTTCTGCTCTATTATGGAATTGTCATCGGGGTACATACATATGGTCACGTTTAATTTCCTTACATGAATCTGATATTGGTAGGTCTCATAATCGGTTTCAGGATCTTTAACCCGATCTTAAGTCCTCATTTTACCAAAAAATGCGGTCGTCAATGCGGAAAAATTATGTGGTAGTCGAAAAAGTAAAATCAGTGTGTGAATGTGCTTATTTATGGCGTAGACGATAAATTACATGGTGCAAGTGAGCAAAAAAGGCTCATCTACCATTTAATCACCGTTTAGCTTTGTTTGAATGACACCCATATAAGCATCACAAATTGTTAGGGTGGCTGACAGTTTTACAAAACATACGAACCACCTAAGGCTAAAGATTCCTTCTTCTGCCTAAAACGTTATTGATAGTGTTGATTAAACAGACATTTCTATAAGTGCATTTAACTTAATTCCCATAAAAACAGTTTCGTTAAATATATTTTACATCTTTTGTCATTGTTTTTCTGGTCTGTCTCGTTGGTTCACAGAACCTATTCGGTGAGTTCGATTTGATACTGCGTAAAAGTCTGGAACTGAAGGAGTATCAGCCACTCTTCCGTGACCTGCACTATCGTAAGAGTCGATAAAATCGTAACGTCACCTTGCCATGAAATCCCCCATTGAAGCGGTGGAGCACCTTCTAACATTGGCAAAAGCAAAGAGGGATTAGTAAGCATGTACATCCAAATATTATGTTGTTTAAAAGGCATTCAAGAAATTCCTTTTTTATTTTTGGTTTATCTTCACAATTTAATCTTGAAATCAGATATTTATAAATGTGGTGGAAACTTCGCATAACTCAGGAACCCTTAGCCTGGTCTTTTGCAGCTTGCTGTGCTAATGTAAATGGGTTATTTATGCAAAAATTTGAACTTTTATAAAGGACCCTGCCTAAAACTAATTAATCATCATTTTTCTTCCCCAAAGCATTCCACAATCCCTGCCAGATCATTTGCTTTCAGTAGGTACCTGCGTGCCTCTGACGAAAGCTATAGCAATACGTTCTTAATTAATTCTAAATCATTTGCAATTTTACATGTTTACAAGACACATGTAGCTACTAGCAGTAGTTTTCAATTAAAGGAACAAAGTCGTCCGGACTGTTTTCTCAATATAACCCGTTTTTGACCTCAGATTTTAGCCTAATGTCACCGTCTACCCTCATTTAAAAGCAGTGGTAATGTCCATTAGTAGAGACTGCAATCGTGCGATTTCACGCGTAAAATGGAAGCTCATCAGAGTTGTTTGAGGGAATGCAAGAACAACTGTCCTTCTTTTGAGTGAAAATAAAAGGATCCTTTTTCTTTTAATCCTCTATATCACTAAAAATTTGTCAAATTAGCGTCACTAGAGGAGGTGAGGGGAATCCGCATCTGATCGCGGTCCTCATTTACAATTTGTGCCACCTCTGAGATCCACATTGTATCTGCTTTTCTGCTGCTGCTTTTATTCCTGTTTCTGCAAGGGTTCCATGCCTTCATACCCACGAGGTGTGCTCGCTAGTACTCGGCCGTCGGCACTTTCTCACCACCGTCCTGTTAAAAGCTGATTCTTAAGTTTCTTTCCATATGTCCTAAAAGGCTGTGTATTAACCACCAGGGAAATAGAAGGACTTTAAAGGCAGCTATTGTCAAGGCTTAAAGGTATGCTTGAAATGGACCAGTTCCTGACAAATCAATCTAAAACCAGGCCATGAACTTGCCATCACTGCAAACTTCAAAGTAAATCAACACGATATTATCTTCCGTAGTGTTTTTGGTGCTACTACAATGGCTAGATCTGTACCTACAATACTAACTCCCTTATTCTGCTTGAAGGAATATAAGAATTGAGTTCTGCTATAGTCTCAAATTATGACGATTAACCTCACAGAAACTGTCCTTCATTATTGGCATGATCTACTTCTTTAAAGCAGCTTGCGCAGATTCCATGGAAAATAGTTGGAATAATTTTGCTAGACTTGGATTTTAAACCATGTATATTACAAGATCAAATTTTATTTATTAGTTCCCAAAAGTATGCTAATTTTATTCTCCTATTTATATTAAAATGCACAAAATTAAACACCCATAAGATTTCAGCCATACCACTGCCAATGTATAAATTGCTTCTAATCAGATCAGGTTTAACTCCCACTGTCATTAACCACCATTAACCAGAATTATTGCTCAAGAACTCGAAAAGGCTTGGTCTATAACGAATTTCGCACGATGGAAAATTGTGCCTTTTGCAGAAAATAAATACTTTAATATCACTATTTTGGGTCACTATAAATCACAAAGTGCAACTCTTTTCTCTAAAAGCTAGGGTTTTCTGTCAATCATTTAGTCACTCCTGAGACAATTTGGTACTAATTGCCAGTTATGATGAGTGCTTGCACAATCTTGATGCGAAATTGAGCTTTCCAAGGGAACAGTGGTGCCTTCTTATGTGGCGTATCTGCGCAATTCTTGACAGATTCTGAGTTGGCTCAATGTAGCACTGAGTATCGCTTCTCAATATGATGCAATGTGTAACAGATGAATTATTTTCCCCTCTCTGTGGCACCATTCTAGGTGACATTTTGAAGGTGAACTGTGTAAGATTCTAAGAAGTTGCTTCGATAGTTTATTTTTAGCTATGCGTTCATAACCCATAGGCATATAGCTAACGAATTATATTTTTTTATTCATAAAAGTGCATTTTTGATTAGATCATATTTCAGTACCGGTTAGAATCCATTAGCTTCATAAAAATTCATGGATTTGTTTTGCAGTGAATAATAAAAGGCAAGTGAGGAACAAATGAGCCAAGCAACTTCGGGAGGGCCAAAATTGCAATTGCAGAAGAGGCTGGTTCTGGGACAAAGTATCTTTGCCCCACCCACCTCCCTTTCCTCTCCCACTTTCTACTGCTGCTTTTATTCTTGTCCGATCTCTCTTACTTTCCTCTTCCCTTATTTACTCTCTTCAGCTCTGTTGCGCCTTATTCTATCCCATTATTCGTGGCATGTGAATATGCGGCTGTCTAATGCTAACGTCGAGAATAGTGAGAAGTACCACTTGGGGCAATATGGGAGTGGTTAGAACGAGGACGATGATGGGGATGGACTGTATTCCTGTGACTGATCTTGCCCACATCGAAGAGGAGATCTTCTATACAGCCAATTTTGTGACATGTGACGTGAGGTGTGCCGTACGATGTATGAGGCGTATTTTGTTTTTTACATTGCGGTGAAATGGATTATAATGCTTTGTACTGGGTAGCGTGAGGAAAGGAACATTCTTCTGTCTAATTCAATAGTTCTAATTGTTTCCGAAGGAGCGTTGTTTGTACATGGAAAGTAAATTGAGTTATATCTAGTAGATGGGTCTCAGCTTCCATTGATGTTTGGTCTTCTGAAATTTAAGAAATACATCTTTTTTCACTAGGCTAAAGCAGATCTGTTCTAGTAATAATGCAATTATGATTCGAATGGTCAAGTTAATGCACTGCTTGGAAATAACCCCGGAAGATGCTTGAATGTAATTTCTTTTTATCACTTTGTTGGTTCTCACGGAAGTGGAATGCACCACTCAAAAAGGTTTAAATTTTAGATTTTTATGGCCTTTCTCGTACTTTTCAATACATTACATATGGGGAGGTACCGATGACCTTTTTTAAACCCCTGACTTTCTTAGAGGTTAAAGGCTCAAATTGATTTTTTGAGTTCACACCTTAAACAACAAACCGTGTCCTTAATAAATGATTCTTGAATTAGTATGTCAATAGAAACACGCATTTCTCCCTAATCCATTTTAGAGAGTCTACCTAAATATGATTGATTGTTAAATCGCCAACTTCGCATCTGATGGGGAATTTAGGCTGCTTTGGGGCCGCGGCTTACTCCGTAAGTGAACTACCTGGAATCGCATTTATTAAGCTCTTTTAATTACCAAGTTGTGACATAGTTTTGAGTTTAAAATAGGCGTAGAATAGTAGATTTCACAAAGAAGTTTACTATGTACAGAGGTCTTTCCCTACCTAGGCTTCGTAATGCACGCATTTAAGCCTTGGCATGAATTTTACAGGTCTTTACAGATTAGGCTGCAGCAAGCTATCACATCTAGCTATACCATGAAATGAAGAATCATGTTTTGTAACTTATTACTGCTGTCATTGTTAAAATCATGACAAAATTTTATTAAGAAGAAAACAATCACTGATAATGTGAAATTTTCACCCTGGCAATAGTTGACCTGTCCATCTTCAAACTAGGTGAATCACCTCCATACTACTTAAAATTCTGCAAAATGGGTGAAACACATTTTTGGAGGAATGCACAATTTGTTTGCACTTTTCGTTTTGAATAGAATTCTTAATGCACGAAATTAACACTTTGGAATGAAATAGTCGGCAAATCAGTAAAAGACCCAATTAAAATAGATGCCTTTTGGCCGCAAGGTCACGACACATTGGGAAAGTAGAAAACTTATAATTCCATTCTTTATGAAATTAAACAAAACCACCCAACCTTTGATTAATTGGTCATTATGTTCTGAGTAGGAAACCCAAATTTTGTGGCAAAAAATAAATAATTAAATAATTATTTACTGCAACGTCAGGAAGCTCGACTATCCGCATTAACTACAAACAAACAGAACCAAACCAGTGAGTTTGCTCGTCTAGTAAACTAAAATGCAGTGCAACTAATTTCCACTCTCATCTGACAGCTTTGACTCGCTATTTTAGTAGGTTATATCTGACTTTCTTAGGAGCTGGCTTAACCAACGGCGACAAATAATGCAGGATTTTAATTATTATCTATCGTAAGTCTCTCACTTTTGTGAATCATTTTGTTGAGCACTTACTCATGATTGACCGATGTATATGAATGAACAAATAATGAATATTCTGAATAAGCATTCTTAATATCGTGAATATATCCGATGATGGGATTATTGGGTCCTGTCGCGAGCCCTCCCCATTCAGGTCAAATACTTTAGTAGCTCCTATTCTCTATTACATTATTCAATTTTACTCCCTCGACTTTGTCGTCTCAAGTATTTTTAAATATCTCTTTGCCATTCTCATTAATACCGTCTTCGAGAACCCCAGCATTAGCCTACGCTGCATCGGCCATTTTTGAAATCAGTACTTCAGCCTAATTTTTATCAGTCTTGCTAAAACGCGCCTTACTCTAACTTTTCAGGAACGGTAATTTAAAGAGTAAAAAGTAGTCTTAGCTACCACAAAGTTTGGAAGAATCAAAGCCAACTTCTTAGTACTTTTGGTTCCCGAACCCTTAGAACCATGGCGAAAATCAAAGAGAGTGCAAGCTTAAAAGCAGTTATTATTTGATTTAGAATAAGATAAAGAAGACGGTGAAGGAGTTTTCTTTGTAGTTAATAGGAGAGCCAGTTTTGTACACATGTGTGCCTTGAGGACCCTTTAAAAGTCAGGCAAAATGAAGCAAGCTTGCGGTAAGCGGCAAATTCTTTAATTGAAGACTTCCTTGTCTTCTTAATGAACACCTAAAGTCAAACCTTGCTTTATCTTGGAAGTTGAATTTGCACCAAAAAGAGAGTATTTTAGACTAAAAATTGTTGCTAAGTAAGTAAATATGGCAGAATAAAATATAATGTTGCATGTGTGCCTGTTTATACAGGCAGCAAACTATTTCAGTTTAAAGATTCTTCATTATCTTGGGTAAAAGCACTTTCCTTTGTCGGGATTATGTCTATAAAAGGTATGATCTTTAGAAATAAGGAGCTGTGTTACAAGTAACGGGGCAAGGTGAATAAGGCGGAATGCAAGTAACCAATATAACAATTACTGGTGAAAAGTAATAGTGCCAGTCATATTTTGGTGCTTGACGGAATTTATACATTGATTTGCTGACAGTTTTTTTAAGTTAAATTTAGCACAGCTGTAATGACGAAATTTAACATAATATAAGTGGTGTGACACCGTTCTCAAGTTTGCGTTAGCGAGTTTATTTTCCTTTCAAACCTCAATGGTGCTGACCTCCGACTGTGTGTAAATACTAAAAAAATGCATTTACAAACTCTAATTTGAGAACAACACTGGATTTCTATTTAGCATTATTACATCCTAATAGGAAAAGAGGTATGTAGGTTTTCTTTCACCAAAGAACCTTGTGTAATACATTGACTGGTTGTTTAACTCTCAGTTTTGGTAAAGGATTCCTTAGGGGCTCCGGCATTTTACCTAACCTAGGCAGCCTGGTCTCCATGTCATGCCAGTAGCTCCAAGCCCTAACATACACTGACTAAACATAATCTGCCCGAGTATTATGTCAATTTTTGTCTTCAGAGTACTCCCGAGGCGTCATACTTGCTAATTCAAGGGCTAAAATTTAATCTCCTCTTGATTTGTAAACGCACCTTTCCCTTACTTTTTCATAAAATCCTAGTGAAGTAAGTAAAAGGTTCCATCCTGCGCAACCACTTTCGTGAGAATCAGAATCAGTCATTTAATTTTGCTATATTTCACTTGGTTAACCCAAACACTTAGGCTAAATAATAGCTTTGAAAATCTATGGCACTTTCTGATTCACCTCCAAATGTGAGGTTGTTATATGCTGATCTCAGCTAGCATAGATATATTTTAGCTATTTTCATTCGTATCAATCTCTGGTAACGTTTTGATTACACTCACGATTTTACTATCGTTTACATTCATCATTTGATTGCCTGCCATTACTTGCATTGAACTACCCGTCAGTCATTGAGATCCGTCACTCAATCCTCATGTTCACTTATTCTTCTTTTTTTCTGCTCTATTATGGAATTGTCATCGGGGTACATACATATGGTCACGTTTAATTTCCTTACATGAATCTGATATTGGTAGGTCTCATAATCGGTTTCAGGATCTTTAACCCGATCTTAAGTCCTCATTTTACCAAAAAATGCGGTCGTCAATGCGGAAAAATTATGTGGTAGTCGAAAAAGTAAAATCAGTGTGTGAATGTGCTTATTTATGGCGTAGACGATAAATTACATGGTGCAAGTGAGCAAAAAAGGCTCATCTACCATTTAATCACCGTTTAGCTTTGTTTGAATGACACCCATATAAGCATCACAAATTGTTAGGGTGGCTGACAGTTTTACAAAACATACGAACCACCTAAGGCTAAAGATTCCTTCTTCTGCCTAAAACGTTATTGATAGTGTTGATTAAACAGACATTTCTATAAGTGCATTTAACTTAATTCCCATAAAAACAGTTTCGTTAAATATATTTTACATCTTTTGTCATTGTTTTTCTGGTCTGTCTCGTTGGTTCACAGAACCTATTCGGTGAGTTCGATTTGATACTGCGTAAAAGTCTGGAACTGAAGGAGTATCAGCCACTCTTCCGTGACCTGCACTATCGTAAGAGTCGATAAAATCGTAACGTCACCTTGCCATGAAATCCCCCATTGAAGCGGTGGAGCACCTTCTAACATTGGCAAAAGCAAAGAGGGATTAGTAAGCATGTACATCCAAATATTATGTTGTTTAAAAGGCATTCAAGAAATTCCTTTTTTATTTTTGGTTTATCTTCACAATTTAATCTTGAAATCAGATATTTATAAATGTGGTGGAAACTTCGCATAACTCAGGAACCCTTAGCCTGGTCTTTTGCAGCTTGCTGTGCTAATGTAAATGGGTTATTTATGCAAAAATTTGAACTTTTATAAAGGACCCTGCCTAAAACTAATTAATCATCATTTTTCTTCCCCAAAGCATTCCACAATCCCTGCCAGATCATTTGCTTTCAGTAGGTACCTGCGTGCCTCTGACGAAAGCTATAGCAATACGTTCTTAATTAATTCTAAATCATTTGCAATTTTACATGTTTACAAGACACATGTAGCTACTAGCAGTAGTTTTCAATTAAAGGAACAAAGTCGTCCGGACTGTTTTCTCAATATAACCCGTTTTTGACCTCAGATTTTAGCCTAATGTCACCGTCTACCCTCATTTAAAAGCAGTGGTAATGTCCATTAGTAGAGACTGCAATCGTGCGATTTCACGCGTAAAATGGAAGCTCATCAGAGTTGTTTGAGGGAATGCAAGAACAACTGTCCTTCTTTTGAGTGAAAATAAAAGGATCCTTTTTCTTTTAATCCTCTATATCACTAAAAATTTGTCAAATTAGCGTCACTAGAGGAGGTGAGGGGAATCCGCATCTGATCGCGGTCCTCATTTACAATTTGTGCCACCTCTGAGATCCACATTGTATCTGCTTTTCTGCTGCTGCTTTTATTCCTGTTTCTGCAAGGGTTCCATGCCTTCATACCCACGAGGTGTGCTCGCTAGTACTCGGCCGTCGGCACTTTCTCACCACCGTCCTGTTAAAAGCTGATTCTTAAGTTTCTTTCCATATGTCCTAAAAGGCTGTGTATTAACCACCAGGGAAATAGAAGGACTTTAAAGGCAGCTATTGTCAAGGCTTAAAGGTATGCTTGAAATGGACCAGTTCCTGACAAATCAATCTAAAACCAGGCCATGAACTTGCCATCACTGCAAACTTCAAAGTAAATCAACACGATATTATCTTCCGTAGTGTTTTTGGTGCTACTACAATGGCTAGATCTGTACCTACAATACTAACTCCCTTATTCTGCTTGAAGGAATATAAGAATTGAGTTCTGCTATAGTCTCAAATTATGACGATTAACCTCACAGAAACTGTCCTTCATTATTGGCATGATCTACTTCTTTAAAGCAGCTTGCGCAGATTCCATGGAAAATAGTTGGAATAATTTTGCTAGACTTGGATTTTAAACCATGTATATTACAAGATCAAATTTTATTTATTAGTTCCCAAAAGTATGCTAATTTTATTCTCCTATTTATATTAAAATGCACAAAATTAAACACCCATAAGATTTCAGCCATACCACTGCCAATGTATAAATTGCTTCTAATCAGATCAGGTTTAACTCCCACTGTCATTAACCACCATTAACCAGAATTATTGCTCAAGAACTCGAAAAGGCTTGGTCTATAACGAATTTCGCACGATGGAAAATTGTGCCTTTTGCAGAAAATAAATACTTTAATATCACTATTTTGGGTCACTATAAATCACAAAGTGCAACTCTTTTCTCTAAAAGCTAGGGTTTTCTGTCAATCATTTAGTCACTCCTGAGACAATTTGGTACTAATTGCCAGTTATGATGAGTGCTTGCACAATCTTGATGCGAAATTGAGCTTTCCAAGGGAACAGTGGTGCCTTCTTATGTGGCGTATCTGCGCAATTCTTGACAGATTCTGAGTTGGCTCAATGTAGCACTGAGTATCGCTTCTCAATATGATGCAATGTGTAACAGATGAATTATTTTCCCCTCTCTGTGGCACCATTCTAGGTGACATTTTGAAGGTGAACTGTGTAAGATTCTAAGAAGTTGCTTCGATAGTTTATTTTTAGCTATGCGTTCATAACCCATAGGCATATAGCTAACGAATTATATTTTTTTATTCATAAAAGTGCATTTTTGATTAGATCATATTTCAGTACCGGTTAGAATCCATTAGCTTCATAAAAATTCATGGATTTGTTTTGCAGTGAATAATAAAAGGCAAGTGAGGAACAAATGAGCCAAGCAACTTCGGGAGGGCCAAGTGCTGCCATTCGGAAAGTAGTCTTCTTTTGTTCCTTATTATTTAGGCCACTTTGTTATGTCAAAATATGAATCTATTGAAACGGTTAGACTCGCACACCAGCATAGAAGGAAGTTCCTCCAGAAACTCG